GCAATATGGTTCATGGGGTCACGAAGAGTCGGACACGACTTAACGACTAAACAACAAATAGACTGTAAAGACTAAATGCAGCATAACTCCAGCCTTGCATATTACTTCCCAAGAAGTGGCAACCTGTAGCAACTGAAGTTTTTAGAAAGCCCTTCATTGGCATTATAGTAATCTAGACTTGAAATTAAGATATGAAGATGTAAGAGAGGGTTCACATGACCAGGTTTGGCCCAGATCTCTGAATGACTCCACCCAGGAGTTTCATATATATGTGAAAAAGCATGGGAGACGAGATGGAACTTTACATCCCCTACAGCTTAGACACTGTAGGGCTAAGCAGGCCTGCTACAGTGATACTTTGAAAGCAGAACCCACCGCATCACCATAAGAGCCATTCCAAAAGGATAATCTGGTTGATAATATAAAATAGGCCACAAGGTCCAAGAAATCAAGAGGGTTATTAATATGCAGTGTTTCTTAAAATTGCTTTCTTTGTCTTTAATATTATGATTTTTCCCATTTGGGTAGAGATTACAGCAGTCCTAAAAAATCTAATAGTGTAGAGTGGGAGTTATTGCCATGTTTTTATTTAAGGGCCTTGAATTCCCCAAAGTGGTTTGGTACTGGCTAACACCAAAGACTGAAGAAGAAGACGAAGATGAAGTGGAGGAGGAGAAGGAAGATGAACTCGAAGTAAGTACATGTTCAGATATTGTTTTAGCAATTGCCTTTGGCAGATTGGCTGGTAACACTTCACATCGTGGTACTCCATAGTGATCACCAAACCAGGTGAGGAAGTAGGTACACTGCAATAAATATAAATATTGAACAAAACAATTAAAGTAATTGCTGGCATTCTCATCACTTCTGATCCAGCATGGTTTTGCTTGAGTGGGTCTATGTATGTGTGCATCTGCACGCATATACACTGATTGATCTATGATGTGCCATGAAATCAGAGTCAACTCTTAGCGACTACATAAATTTTCTTCAAGGCAATGTGTCCCTAACCTTGTCCTTCAGATCTTCCAACAGTGCACCCATCGCCACTGTAACTGAGTCCATCCGCTTTGTTGCCGGTCATCCTCTTTTTCCTTCCTGAGTCAGAATAGTGCAAGCTATGGTATTCCTTGTGACATTTTAGTGTGCTCATTAAAAGTCAACACTGATTTGACTTTTGAGAAGTGAAAGCTGGACTTGAAGAAGAGGAATTGTTTAGGAAGAGTATTGATGGCTTTGAACTTTGATGTTGGAGAAGGCTCTTGAGAATACCGTGGACAGCCAGT